AGACCAGTACCAGCCACTATAAAAACACACCAAAACATAAAGACCAATGAAGCTATGAAGAAACTGCATCAACGAATGTGCAAAATATCCAGCCAGCGTCAGGATGACAAGATCAAATTCACACATAAGAATACTAACCTTAAATGTAAATTGGCTAAATGCCCCAATTAAAAGACACAGACAAGCAAACTGGATAAAGAGTCAAGACCCAATGGGGTGCTATATTCAGGAGACCCATTTCATGTCCTAGGACACATATAGGCTTAAAATAAAGGGATGGAGGAATACTTACCAAGCAAATGAAAAGCAAAAAGAAGCAGGGGTTGCAATCCTAGTCTCTGATAAAACAGACTTTAAACCAACAAAGATCAAAAGAGACAAAGAAAGGCATTCCATATGGTAAAGGGATCAATGCAACAAGAAGAGCTAGCTATCCGAAATATGTATGCACCCAATACAGGAGTACACAGATTCATGAAATAAGTTCTTAGAGACCTACAAAGAGACTTAGACTCCCACACAGTAATAGTGGAAGACTTTAACACCCTACTATCTATATTAGACAGATCGATGACACAGAAGATTAACAAGGATATTCAGGAATTGAACTCAGCTCTAAATCAAGTGTACCTAATAGACATCTACAGCACTCTCCACCCCAAATCAATAGAATATACATTCTTCTCAGTGCTACATAGCACATATTCTAAAATTGACCACGTAAATGGAGGTAAAACACTCGTTATCATATGCAAAAGAACAGATAGAATAGCAGTCTCTCAGACCACAGTGCAATAAAATTAGAACTCAGGGTTAAGAAACTCACTACACAACTACACAACTACATGGAAATTGAGCAACCTGGTCCTGAATGACTATGAGGTTAATAACAAAATTAAGGCAGAAATGAAGAAGTTCTTTGAAATCAATGAGAACAAAGAGACAATGTATCAGAATCTCTGGGATACAGCAGAAGCAGTGTTAAGAGGGAACTTTATAGCACTAAATGCCTACAACAGAAAGCTGGAAATATTTCATATCAACACCCTAACATCACAATTAAATGAACTAGAGAAGCAGGAGCAAACGAATTCAAAAGCTAGCAGAAGACAAGAAATGACTAAGATCAGAGCAGAACTGAAGGAGATAGGGACACAAAAAACCCTTCAAAAAATCAATGAATCCAGGAGCTGGTTTTTTGAAAAGATTAAAGAAATAGATGGATCACTTGCTGGACTAATAAGGAAGAAAAGAGAAGAATCAAATAGACATGATAAAAATTGACAAAGAGGATATTACCACTGAAACCACAGAAATAAAACTACCATCAGAGAATACTGTAAACATCTCTATGCAAATAAACTAGAAAATCTAGAAGAAATGGATAAATTCCTGGATATGTACACCCTCCCAAGACTAAACCAGGAAGAAGTTGAATCCCTGAATAGACCAATAACAAATTCCGAAATTGAGGCAGTAATTACAAGCCTGCCAACCAATAAAAGGCCAAGACCAAGAGATTCACAGCCAAATTCTACCAGAAGTACAAAAGGGAGCTGGTAGCGTTCCTTCCAAAATTATTCCAAACAATAGAAAAAGAGTGGACTCCTCCCCAACTCATTTTATGAGGCCAGCATTATCCTGATACCAAAACCTGGCAGAGACACAACAAACAAAAGAAAATTTCAGACCAATATCCCTGATGAACATCGATGCAAAAATCCTCAACAAAAGATTGGCAAACTGAATTCAGCAGCATATCAAAAAGCTTATCTACCATGATTAAGTCGGCTTTCTCCCTGGGATACAAGGCTGGTTCAACATATGCAAAACAGTAAATGTAATCCATTACATAAACAGAACCAATGTCAAGAATCACATGATTATCTCAATAGATGCAGAAAAGGCCTTCAATAAAATTCTATTCAAATTCAAATCCCTTCATGCTAAAACATCAATACACTAGGTATTGATGAAGCATATCTCAAAATAATAACAGCTATTTATGACAAACCCATAGCCAACATACTGAATGGGCAAAAGCTGGAAGCATTCACTTTGAAAACTGGCACAAGACAAGGATGCACTCTCACCACTCCTATTCAACATAGTGTTGGAAGTTCAGGCCAGCACAATCAAGCAAGAGAAAGAAATAAAGGGTATTCTAATATGGAGGGAGGGAGTCAAATTTTCTCTGCTTACAGATGACATGATTGTACATTTAGAAAACCCTGTTTTCTTAGCCCAAAAACTCTTTAACCTGATAAGCAACTTTAGCAATGTCTCAGGATACAAAAGCAATATGCAAAAATCACAAGCATTCATATATACCAACCATAGAAAAGCAGAGAGCCAAATCATGAGTAAACCCCCATTCAGAATTACTACAAAGAGAATAAAATACCTAAAAATACAACTTACAAGAAACGTGAAGGACGTCTTCAACGAGATCTACAAACCACTGCTCAAGGAAATAAGATAGAACACAAACAAATGGAAAAACATTCCATGCTCATGGATAGATAGAATCAATATTGCAAAAATGACCATACTACCCAAAGTAATTTGTACATTCAGTGCTATTCCCATCAAGCTACCAGTGACTTTCTTCACAGAATGAGAAAAAAAACTACTTTAAATTTCATATGGAACCAAAAAAAGAGTGTGTGTAGCTAAAACAATCCTAAGCAAAAAGAACAAAGCTGGAGGCATCATGCTACCTGACTTCAAACTATACTTCAAGGCTACAGTAATCAAGCAGCATGGTACTCGTACCAAAACAGATATATAGACCAGTAGAACAGAACACAGACCTCAGAAATTACACCACATATCTACAACTATCTGATCTTCAACAAACCTGACAAAAACAAGCAATGGAGAAAGGATTTCCTATTTAATAAATGGTTCTGGCAAAACTGGCTAGCCATATGCAGAAAATTGAAACTGGACCTCTTCCTTACATTTTATACAAAAATTAACTCAAGATGATTAAAGATTTAAATGTAAAACTCCAAACTATTAAAAATCCGAGAAGAAAACCTAGTCAATACCATTCAGGACAAAGACTTCATGACAAAAACACCAAAAGCAATTATAACAAAAGCCAAAATTGACAAATGGGATCTAATCAAACTAAAGAGCTTCTGCACAGCGAAAGAAAGTGTCATAAGAGTGAACATCCAACTTACAGCGTGTGAAAAAATTTTTGCAGCCTATCCAGCTGGCAAAAGTCTAATATCCAGAATCTATAAGGAGCTTAAACAAATTTGCAAGAAAAAAACAACTGCATCAAAAAGTGGGCAAAGGAAATGAACAGATACTTCTTAAAAGAAGACATTCATGCAGCCCACAAACCTATGAAAAACAGCTCATCATCACGGGTCATTAGAGAAATGCAAATCAAAACTACAATGAGATAGCATCTCATGCCAGTTAGAATGGCTATTATTGAAAAGTCAGGAAACAACAGATGCTGGCGAGGATGCGGAGAAATGGGAATGCTTTCACACTGTTGGTGGAAGTGTAAATTAGTCCAGCCACTGTGGAAGACAGTATGGCAATTTCTCAGGGATCTAGAACCAGAAATACCATTTGACCTAGCAATCCCATTACTGGGTATATTCCAAGAGGATTATAGATCATTCTACTATAAAGACACATGCACATGTATGTTTACTGCAGCGCTATTTACAATAGCAAAGACTTGAAACCATCCAAAATGCCCATCAATGATAGACTGGATAAAGAAAATGTGGCACATATACACCATGGAATACTATGCAGCCATAAAAATGGATGAAATCATGTCCTTTGCAAGGACATGCATGAAGCTGGAAACCATCATTCTCAGCAAACTAACACAGGAACAAAACCAAACACCACATGTTCTCACTCATAAGTGGGAGTTGAACAATGAGAACACATGGACACAGGGAGGAGAATATCATATACCAGGGCCTGTCTGCTGGTGGTGGGGGAGGGGTGGTAGAGCATTAGGACAAATACCTAATGCATGGAGAGCTTAAAAGCTAGAAGATGGGTTGATAGGTGCAGCAAACCACCATGGCACATGTATACCTATGTAACAAACCTGCACATTTTGCAAAGGTATCCCAGAACTTAAAGTAAAAAAAAAAAAAAAATGTTTGCCACTCAAGTTAGCTAAAGAAAGGATATGTATAAAGGGGATTTTCATGTAGCACAACTGTGGGAAGTGAAAAGTGGTTTGCTGCTGCTGCTTTCTCCATCTCTCTGGAGTCACAGTATGACTCTTCTGTGCCTGTCTGTTCCCTGGAACCACATACCAGTGATTCCCATAGACACTTGCCTATGGAAAGCACCCAGTTCTATTCTCCCACAGCCAGGGCCAGGCCTCAGCAGTGGCCTCAGCATCTGTGGCTCTGATCCTGGCCCCAACTACAAGTGACCCACTGCTACATTTTCCAACACCGTGGAATCAGCCTATCTGTTCAGTGTCTAGTGTGAAAATCCATGTGGCTCTGAATGGGTCAAATATCCACTCCTGCTCCAATAATCTAAAGCCTAGATTCAAGTGGAGGGTGGGGTGTTATATACATGGTCGCCTCTTCTACCAGACACCAGAGTAGGGAGAGAGAGAGAGTCACATACACAAATAAAAGCTGCAACAGTTATGGGGTATTATTGAGTCCTAAAACTCTGGAATACCAAGTGGGGTATTATTGAGTGCTAATACTCTGGAATACAAAGGGGGTCACCAAAACATGTCTGTCTCTCTGTCTCTCCCCCGACTCCACCCCAGTCTATACCTCCCCTGGCCACCACCCCACTTCTACACCTCTTTCACAATCCCCGCTTTCCTTCCCCTCCTCCAGTCTCCACTCCTATCCCCGAAGTTATTCCTAAAGGTACCACTGTCCCACCTCCTTCCCCCACTCTTCCCAGCCTTCTTCCCCTACCACCCTGGCCCCCGCCGCTGCAAGCCCTCCCTCTGAAAATAAATTTCTCATCCAGATATGCATGCTTCGGTTCTATTTTGCATTTCTGCACTCACTGGGGATTTTGCAGCCAGATTCCCCTCCCACAGTTGAAGCAAGTATCCCTCCGTGAAAAATTCACAGCTTTACACCAAGGGCAGTCCCAGTCCCCAGGCCTGCGATATACTGGAAGTCGTCTTTGCTGATGGAGTTCGGAGTCTTTCTTGTCTTGTGGGTGCTCTTGTGGGTCTAGGCTGTAGCCCCCCACATCAGACCACAGGCTAAAATCAAAGGGCCCCCACTTAGGCATCTGAGGTGGAACAGGTGCTGTTACTGATGGAGGGGATATAGTGGATATGGCTGAGGAGGAGGTGGACAAAGGGCTTGAGTATGAGTATGTGAATGAGGCAGGGAGCTGGACAGTAAGAGGTTCTGTTAAGGCTGTGGAACTGGGCTTCATGGTTTCAGAGAAATAAGACGTGGCTGTTTCACTGGACCTAAGATTTCCCTCAGTCTTCCCCCAGCAGGTGTAACTTTCCTGCTCATCATCTCCAAGGAGCTGCAGGATGATTCTCTCTAGCTCCTGTGTGGTCTCCATGGGGGAAGCCCCAGCCTCCACGGGGGAAGCCCCAACCTCCACAGGGGAAGCCCCAACCTCCACAGAAGTAGCCTCAACCTCCACAGGGGGAGCCCCAGCCTCCATGGGAGCAGCCATAGCCTCCATAGGGGGGGACCTAGCCTCCACAGGGGCAGTCACAGCCTCCACATCCCTCTGCTTTTCTTCTTTTCCTTTTCCTCCAGAGGCATCAGCAGCAGCCACCACCACCTCTTCTTCTTCCTCACCTGCTCCTTCAGTGCACACCCCTCTGGCAGTGGCCAGGCCTGGCCCCCCTGCCACCTGCTCCCACTCATGGGGAGATGCCAGGCCCTGGAGAGAAATGGGCAGGGCTGAGATGTATTCTGGGGGCAAGGCAGGAGCACTGACCAGGGTAGGGTGGAGCTACCAGGTAGGGAAGGGTGGGCAGGGTAGGGCAAAGCCATGGAGCAGGGTAGAGAGGGGCAGGAATGGGGCAGGGCAGTGGTACTGGGCAGGGACCAGTTGAGGGATCTTACTGCATGGAGGAGCTTCTGAATCAGCATGTCTTGCTCTTTCTGCACCTCCAGGAGCCTGGATTGGGCCATTCTTAGCTGGGAGGCCACCTCCTTGCATTCTTTCTCCTCCTGCGCCCTGAGCTTCTTCAGGTCTGACACCAAGTCCTGTGTGGCTGATTTGCGCTGTTTGGCAAAACTGTGTAGCCACTGCACCTTGTGCCCTTGTAACTGTGCCTGCCTGTGGGCAAAGCGCACTGCCAAGGCCAGGGTGCCCCAAGTGCAGGCCTCTTTGACCTCGCTGTGCACCTCGCTGTTCTCCAGGATGGCCCTGAGCTTGTCTTCCACCTTCTCCCAGGATAAGGATATATTCTCGAGGTAGAACTCGGGGCCTTTCGTGTGCCTGGCCATCTTTTCGTTGATGAATGCCACTACGCTGCCATGCCGAAACCCACTACTGGTGTCCTCAGGTCTCAAGGCCATGGTCGTCTAGCGGCTTAACGGTTTCACTGGCTCTGTGTGGATGGAGCAACCAATAGATTCCTCCCCCACCCCTCAGCTCCTCCCCTCATCGGTTTTCTCCCACTCTCTTGCCCCTGACCTCTCTCCTCTAACAAGACCCTCCTAATGACCCCCTGACCAGCTTGTACTACCCTAGGACACCTCCCACCGGGACTCACCTCTTTGGCTGGGGCCAGATGAAGTACAGGCCAACCCTGCTATTTTAACAATCCGGAAGAGAGAGAGGGTCTGAGGCTCCGGAGAAAGGAAACCTCGGAGCCAATGTGGAGGCTTTTGCTCTGGGACTGTTCCAATTTCCAGAGATTCCAGGGGTGGAAGGGAGTGAGTAAGGAAGGCTCCTGCCACTACATTGGGATGTAAGGGAACTGCCACATGGGTGGGAGTCCTTACAGCCCAGAAGAAACAGGAGTGGTCAGAAAAGACTTAGAACCAAGAAAATTAAGCCGTTATTATCAAGTCAAAAAAGTCCCACATATCCCTCTCTCTTGTCATAATGGTTTGTCCCACACCAACGGCTAGTAGGGCCCCCAATAGAGGTTGAAGGGCAATAATGGGAATGTTCTAGAACATGAAAAAGCCTCCCCCAATCCTTGAAAATTCTGTTGCTTCTTTTCTGGGCTCCTAAATCCTGGTATACAGATTAGTGACCTTTTTCTGAAAAGGGCAAGACAGCAGGCATTTGAGGCTTTGTGGGCAAAAGATCCCAACTACTTGTAGCACAAAAGCAGCCATAAATAATACCTGAAGAAATTACCATGGCCATGTTCTAATAAAAGTTTATTTATAAAACCAGGTGGTTGGCATGATTTGTCCTATAGGTGTGAAACTCCCAATCTGGATTCACATTTCATACATGTCCTATAGGTACACACAATCAAAATGTTCATGATATAACTCACCCTTTTCCCTGTTAAAACAAAAATGTTAGACAAGTTAACAGCTTGTCAATACAAAAAAAAATAAGTTATGAATTTGTCAGTACTCAGAACCAGAAGAGTTTCAGAGACCTATTCCCTGGAGCATGAGGAGTGAGTTTTTATAGGCTGAATTTGGGCACAAAGGAGAAAAATCACCTTATTGGCTACAGCAAGGCATTTGCCTAATTTGAACATGGTGTCATCACTTGACTGCCTGTGATTAGCTGAAGCCTGGCTAGTTGGGTATGGCTGAAATTAGGCTGTCTTTTCATACAGCTTATGTTAAGTTTCAGTCTATTTACATACTAAGTTAGGTTGCAGTTTGTTAGATAGGAACTCAAAGTATGGAAACAGCTTCAAACTAATGGCCTCTTGCTTATTATTATATACAGGAGATGATTCCCCTCTTAAATTCCTATGTTGCTCAATACAGAAACCTCAAAATCAAGTAAGTCACCTACCCTTCATATCCACCATTAAAAATAAGTCAAGTAAGAGACCAGATCTTGTTTCTGTGACCTCAGAAACTTCTAAGATATCCATGCCCACTTAGGGAATGTCCATGTTGCCCCCCAAATTATCTTCCTGTCTTTAATTTCTTCATAATTTCTAATCACTTCCTAATCTTTACTGTCATCATGCTTCACTTAAGCTTAAAAACATTTGATGGCTCCTTGTGACACACTCCTTGTCCTGACATTAGACTCTCACCCTAGGATACCATTCTAATTTAACTCTCTCCACTCTCTTATCTACCATCATGTACGTACCCAAGGGATTAAGTCATAGAGGAATACACTGATTTGGGGTTTTAAGTTATTTTCCCTTCTGAAAAATCAGAGCATTCATTTTTTATTATATGGGAATTATGTTCTGTTCTATGAATTACATTTAAGAAGATAATATTTCTTCTCCAAGGGCCTTAAATCAGATAATTAGAGAGGAGAAAGATAATAAATCAGGCATTAAAATATTACCTGAGAAGATGGTTAAACCCCACAGGCATAAAGTCCCAGCATTTAAGTGCTATTTTTAGATGCTGTCTTGTGATTTTTTTCCTTCTCAGCCTGTATATTTTATTTATCACCCATCAGAGGTATGGGTTCATGATTTGACTTGTTCTAGAGTGACTTATGTAGTAAAAGTACCCAGGAGATAATGTAGAAAAGAGAATGGTGAGGAAAGGAGGAGAGACTGGAGTCAGGAAGACCCATTAGGGAGATGCCAAAGCAATTCAAGAAGTAAACCAAAGCAGAGGAAATAGAGATGGAGAGAAGAGTGTAGAGTCATTTGGTAGATTCATAGGGATGTCAGGGACAAGGATGAGGGAATGCTGAGGATAATGGCCAGGTTTCTGATATAGGGGACTAAGTAGATGGCTATGTTATTGACTTAGATGGAAAATGAAGAATTGTTTGGGATGAGTTTACCTTTAGACATATTGATATCAAAATACCTGTTGAGGCTGGGCACGGTGGCTCATGCCTGTAATCCTAGCACTTTGGGAGGCCAAGGTGAGTGGATTACCTGAGGTCAGGAGTTCAAGACCAGCCTGCCAAACATGGTGAAACCCTGTCTCTACTAAAAATGCAAAAATTAGCCAAGTATGGTGGCACACGCCTGTAGTCTCAGCTACTTGGGAGGCTGAGGCAGGAGAATTGCTTGTATCTGGGAGGCAGAGGTTACAGTGAACCAAGATCATACCACTGCACTCCAGCCTGGGCAACAGAGCAAGACTCAGTCTCAAAAAAAAAAAAAAAAGAATATCTGTTGGACATTTTGGTGGAGATACTTAGTAAGCAGTTTCATATATGAGTCTAGAACTTAGGAGAGGCATCAGAGCTGGAAATGTAGTACTGAGAGGTGAAAGCTGAATTTACAGCAGCAGTTGAAATAACTCAGGGATAGAATATGGAGCAAGAAGAGGAGAGGGCTGGGGACAGAACCCTGGCCTGCCTTCATGGATCCTTCCTTTCTACAGCTGTGTGCTGCCATTGGTGATTTTATAATTGTCTCTCTTTCTCCTTAATGTTCTTGTCTACTAACTTCAGAACATTTTTAACCTTATCTCTTTTATTCCCTCTATAATACTTTAAACATGAACTTTGGTTTGTGATTAGTTTTCTCTTTATGCTGCCATTTTTCAACTTCTGCTTATGAATACATTTGGGAAATTAAATTATTTCTGTTAGCAGACTAGAGGAGGGAGAAACTGAAGACAGAAAAACCTGTTCGGAAGTTCCTTCAGTAGTGCAGGCAAAACATTATTAGGGCTTGAACTGTGGAAGGACCTCAGTGAGATGTCAGGTGAGGAGAGGTTTTTGAAATACAGTTAGAATGACTTGTTAACCAATTGTATTAATATATGAGAAATAAATATGGGTGTTGGAGCAGAAAAAGATTTTGAGGCATTTGACTTGAGAAACTAGGCTTTGTGACTAGTGATGCCTCAAACCGTAATAGATATGAGGAAAAAAAGACTATAGAGAAGAGATAATAAACTCAGTCCTGGATTGACAGATGCCTTCATGGTAGTTACATTGAATCATAGTTAAATGGCTGTACTGGGCTGGAAGTTAGGCGAGAGGACAAAACTAGACATAGTTACAATAAATTTTGATGTTTTCAGTGCTCATTTTTGGCTAAAACCTCATGCTTCGATAAAATTGCTGGAGATGAAAGTTGAAGGAGAGAATAAGCAGGAAAAAAAAAAAAAAAAAAAAAAAAAAAAAAACAGAAGAAGGAATCCCGAGGTCTTGGAAAGGGTAGCAAATACCTTTGGAGATGAGACAAGGGAGAACAAGCAGTAGGAGTAGTCAGAGAAGTAGACAATAAAAAAGGGTATTCTAGACCTAAAGAGAGATTTGGAAGGTGAAAAGAGTTGTTACTAGTTTTAAGTAATGCAAAGAGATTACATAGGATGAGTGTGAACAAGAAGTCATTAGATTTAGCTAATAAGATATCCTTAGTGATTTGAGTGATAGGCAATAGAATGGTGAGGCAGAATTCTACCACCAGGAGTCAGAAAATAGATAATGAAAGCACAGCATATGCCAGTTTAGTTGGTGAGACAACTAAGTTATACAATTTTTAACACAAAGAGAAAATAATCTGGTATTTACTGTAGGAAGAAAGGGGAAATCATATGTAAAGAAAACTCTGTGTTTTGAAGAGTTTGTATTATGACTCAAGAAATAAGGACAAACCTTTGTGAATTCTATGAGAAGAACTATGAAATAAAAATATATCAGTGTAATCTGATATTTATAGAGAAGGAGTGAGGAAGTGAGAAATAGTTATTAGAGTCAGGGAAATTGCTTGGGGAAGAATTTCTGGAGGACAGTTATGTTGTCATTTTAATAGAAACATTGGCGCTCTCCAAAGATTTGTGAAGACCTTTCTGGTTGTAGTATGATGTGTCTCAGATTGCCATTCTTAAAATTGTCTTCATCCAAGCAAGAAAGCAGGACTCACTCATACTATGATGTGAATAATGGTGGCATCAGGGAACCTTTCAAATTTGCCTTCATTATTACCTTACCTTTATCCACATTCTCATTCATTGGGGTTCAGATTTCGAACAAGCTGCCTATACCCTTGTGTGGCATATTGCAATTGCCTTTCCCTTAGGAATGGTGACATGAGCTCACCACTAGAATGATCCACAATTCTTAGTTACATATAAATGGATTGCTACATATATATGTACTGTATTCTTTTTCTTTCTTGAGTAGGTATCTAATTTTAATGCACAGCCTCCAAATAAATTATAGTTTGCTTTGAATTCAAGGTGAAGAATATTTTGATGACAAAAATTTTATTTTGAGTGACTAGTTTTTAAAATATACATAATGTTTACTATAACCTTGTCCATTGGCTACTTAAAAAAAAAGGAAGAAAACAAAATATCTTGATTCACTTTATGGGTTGGGTTGAGAATCAGTAGAGCATGTGATAATCGTGGTGACGATGTTAAAGGAAATTACTTTTTATAAAGTACTTAGTATATGCCAGGTACTGTTGCTATGAGCTTAAAATGAACTATCTCATTGTTAGGAGAGAATTCTCTACGGGCCTCTTGCATTTTTGCATGTCTGTGAGCAGACTATCCTTTGCCCTGGATTATCTTTTCAAAGTGTATGTATAGAGAACAGTCTTTTTTTTTCCTTTCCTTTTTTTTTTTTTTGAGATGCAGTCTCCTTGGTCACCCAGGCTGCAGTGCAATGATGGGATCTCAGCTCACTGTAACCTCTGCCTCTAGGATTCAAGACATTCTCCCATCTCAGCCTACCAAGTAGCTGGGATTACAGGTACCCACCATCATACCCAGCTAATTTGTATATTTTTGTAGAGACAGGG